AGCAGCTGTGGTTGGAGCAGCTGTGGTCGTTGTAGGAGAAGTTCCAGTTGTTTGAGCATCCGTGGACCTCATCTGGATGCCTAGGTTTGATTTTATATGAATTATTCATTAAGTAGAGCCCAACATAAATATATATGATTTTTAAAGTTATCACTACCACATTGTGGTCTTAAGATGTTTAACTTACCAACAACAAGTAGCAGTATCCAAAAAATCTTCATTTTTCTTCCTTATTTTGTTTTCTGTTTGAAAGAAAATGTGTTTATTATCTTGTATTTGTGATAATTGGTTTATTTTGTATGTCCCATTAATTTAAAACAACAGTTTATCCACCATATCTGCAACTAGAATATTTAAAATATCACTCTAACACTTCTTTAATACATCTCTAAAAAGAAAGTTTGATTTTCTTTGTGCAGATTTGCACCTTTTTCATGAAGTTTCACTAATACTATTTACTTTCTGTTTCTATTCTCTTTTTATTTTCTGACAAAAATGGAACAAGATTTGATTTTTATTTTCAATAAAAAAAAACTTTATAATTATAGAATGCCAATCTAAGACAGGTACTTCTTCAACTCAGTGTGGATTAATGTAACTCTGCCTTCTGTTTTTATTTATAGCCCTTTCCACTAAATGTCAAAGATATTTAGCAAGAACAACACATCCAATTTTCATGACAAAATAGTTATAAAAAATAGATTAAATTTTTACTAACATAAATTACAATTTAATTCTTAATGCTACTACTGCTACTACTAATAATAATAATAATTCTTAGGATAAGAATGTAGTGAGATATTTCTTATAATGCCAGTTAGTGAAGAATCTATACATCTATAGCATTAAGTTATTGACTTTCAACCATATCATCCTCCTGAGTGAGCATGTGCTTTTAAAATCAGATGATTGATAGTTTAATAATAACAGTGATTAATTTCATAACAACACTTTAACTATAATTGTAATAATTTTAAAAATCAATTTTATTAACTGATTTATGTTACAGGTAAACAGTTTATGAAATGTTTCCCATTTCTGCCCCCATGCATTATGGATAGCACATAGTCCCAAAGAGCATTACGACTTTTTTAAAGCATTTCAACCAAAAAAAAAAATAAATTATTTCAAAGTAGCATAAAATAGTAGTTTGAAGCAGCACATATAGATATATACTTCATTCAACACATGTAAATGTCCTAAGCACTGTGTAAGTAGTTACTGAAATTAGTTGAAATATATCACTTACAGGTTTTGTCTGATGAGTTGCCTTCACAGCTGGAACAGAGGTTCTGATGCTCCCTGATCCTATCAGTTTGCTGGTTAACTGGTACTATTCATCATTGAAGAAAAGGCTTTATATATATCAAGAGCAGATACTGTAATGTCAGGCGGACGTAATGGTAAAAATTAGTCACCAAATAAGTAAATAATGCTTTATCTTAGGTGTGGCTACCAGTTGAACATTTTTTGACTCATCTATTTAAGACTGGTTTAGCAGCATTTCTTTTACTTTTGCAAATAGGAACATGAGAAGATGGCAGATAGAGATTAATTGTTTGCGACGACACTAAAAGGATTATGCATTTCCATTTAGGTTGATACATTTAACTTAGTAGGTTCAGACAACTAAATAAACTGCATCATTAAATGTAACTTTAAAGGTTTTCTAAGATTTTTCAGGTGCATCATTTTGCATTAATTTATATCAGAATTCAAGAACATACCACAAAAAGTTCTATCTTATTTAAAATTATTATTTTCTTAAACTTCTAATTTCTATATCTGCAGATAATATGTATTTGATGACAGAGTTTTGTTATTTAAAAAAGAACCTCTCTAATGTCTCATTACATGATTCAGTCAAAATGAGAAGGTTTATAAAGTCACACCCTTGGAGTGATACCTGCAGTACGCACACTGTTTTGTCCTTGCAAGGAACGTCAACCCTTTAATTACTGGATCAGTTTTGACGTCAAAGACGATGAAGCTGCAAGTTGGAAAAAAAATGTTTCCTTTCTTTTTTTGTTATTCTATTCTTAAACCTTTTTATTCTGATATAGAAATAGTTACTTTTATGTGTAACTACAATGTTTTACCAAACTCATAAAAACTGTACAGTACGTCTCCTGGGCAGGTTCTTCTTTGTTGTTGTTTTTTTCTCTTCTGAGAGATTATTAGCGGTACCTTTCCTTAGTGGGTCAACAAGTCAACAGCGACAAGTATTGATCCAATATGCAATGCTACAGCCTGCAAGGCTTAGTGTACTTATAACTCCTAACCACTGAAAAAGTCGCTCAGAAAAAACACAAGACCTGCCAGCAGAGAATAATATATTCCAACTTTATTTATATGGCACTTATAGAACATAAAAAAATTGTCAATCACATCAGAATCCTTTTCAAAATATATAAAAGAATTTTCCAGTACAAAAAAAAAAAAAGCATTAATATTAAGTTACTGATCATGAATTTACTTTTGATTATATTTGAAAAATGAAAAGCCGGGAAACAGTTTGTTTTCTGTTTTGTGCAAATTAAAGTCGGCATGGAGAAACCTGCATTTCCTGTCTGTTTCTCATTACTGGATGATCAATCCAGGTGTTTTTGGCCATGGTGGAATAACCAGTTCATCTGGTACAAAATAGGAAACAAGGAGCTACCTTACTGGTGTAGATTCTCAGTCATCCAGGTCATAGTCATTCCAAAAAAAAAATAAAATAAAAGAACTAAAAAAAAAGACCCACTGGACTTTTTTTTTTTTGTCCAAGTTTTAACGCATCTCGCTTTGGTAGTTGTGACTTGTGCTCTAAAATCTCACACCAAGCTCAGATCAAAAGATGAGAACACTGATTATACTGAAGACAAAAATACAAAAAACACAAGAATAGGGAACCATTCC